GCTCCTTTAGGCCAGAATCTAGCAAACACTTTAGTAAGCTGCAAAAGTGTATCGATTTTAGTAAAATTTAGCAATCCAGATGCCAAATGTCCGCATTGGCTGATAATGTAATAAATGTAATAATGTAATAAAATGGAGGTTAGCTAAGCGATGAGGGGAAATTTGAATTGTGAAAACTAGAGCAAATACTATCTCAGTTAACTTCGACACAATCTCCAGATGGGACCATTGACAACACTGTCCTTCTAAAATGTAATAACTAAGAGCTCATTATATCGAAAGCCGGGGTAAAGGAACAGACCAGCTGCAGCAATTGTCTTAAAATATAAACACTGTAGCCACATCTAAGACAGAATGAAGATAGAATGGTTACTCACTACAATTCCCTTCGCGACCCCTTCCTCTTGCTCCTCCGTGTTTGTACCTCCGAGTACAAGCACCTCCTGTGGTGGATCCTGACAAGGTGAGAGTTTGTTTGAGAAAGGCACCGGAGCAGCCGCCACGGCAGGCACATCTTCCGCCCCTGCTGTAGTTCGTTGGGGTTCCAAGGTCACCCTGGCAACAGAAGAAGAATCCAAATTTGATGCTGATTCTCGTGGCACCTCCGTGGCGACTAGACACGTTGCGACATTTGTTAGGAGTGTTGGAAACCGCGGTGTCGACAACAGACCTGCGGGTCGTCTCAAACCTAGGCCAGAAACTTTTCGAGCAACAGTTTCTGGCGGCCATGAGCGCATATGGCCTGCAGGTAATGAAAATTCTGGCATTGGAGGATGCTGATGCTGATGGGAGGAGTGATAACCACTGCTTTCACTACCCGGAGTCGCCACAATAGAGCCAGATGATCCAACACAACGCGGAGGCAACAAGGAGGTGATTTCTGGAGTCCGTGACTTGGTTCGAATGTCCGAACTTAAGCGTCGGCGCCTATTTGATGCGGTCTGGAGTTTGCGACCAACACCTCCCTGAGAGGAGATTGAGGGTGAGCGAGAGTAGAGTTGCGGAGTGAAGGCGGGTGTAGCAAGGGATGGCATATAAAGACGCGGAAGTGTGGATTTGGGCACTCCAGAAGTGAGACCATGGTTGTTATTACACTCGTCCACATTAGTCTCCCCAGGAGATAGTGGTGGAGGGATTTGATGACGCTCACTTGATTCCAACCCTTCCCCGTGAAGCCGTTTAGCGAGAGAAGCGACAACACCACCACCACCGACACCAACTTCCGCCTCGTCCTCAGAAATTCTCGAATCATTATCACTTTCCCCTTCACCACCACCCCACTGACTGCCAAAGGTATAGGCACCAGCACGGGTGACATCTGGGATGCCCTCTTGGTCCACCATCACAACAACCGCATGGGTACAACTAGTGTCGTTTCGACCGATGTTTGTGAGACTGGCGCTGCTACCTGCAGGTCCAACACTGCTGCGAATATTGCTAGTGCTCGCGCTAATAGGCCGACGACTCCACAGAATCGATTTGCTATTGGCACCCTCGTCCGAAGGCGGCTTCTTCTCCCCTTCCTCACGGGATTTACTCAAATTGGAGGGCCGTGAAAGTGCGGTCTTTTGATCTCGTGTTCGAGTGGCTGCTTTCACTTCCTTTAGATAGCGTGGAGTTGTAGCGTTATTAGCACCTCCTGAACGAAAGTACGAAGAATATGGCATTTTCCGAACACCGACAGATCCATTGACTGCCGCAGTTGAAGAAGCACCTGCAGGCGCACGTGTCTGATCCCCATTGTTGTTAATTACTGCGTCCTCGACGGAGCGCTTGACGACCCCGCTGCCTCCAGCAAGCTTATAGACATTGGGTGAGGAGCCTCCAAAACCGGAGCCAGCACCACCAGGACAGACGTTACCACCATTTGTGACGCCGGAGGCGTCCGTCTGCATCTTAGCAGAGCAGGCCATAGCCCGGACACCCGAGTAGAAGCCACTGGTCACCACTAGACCGGCACCACTAGCTGTGGGAGCAACGCCCCCGTTAGCACCCAAGCCTGAACCTCTAGTGGCTTTGGCGTCAGTGGTACCTCGGTTATTTTCTACATTACCATTAGCTGGAAGGTTCATATGATGTTGGTTGGTCTCACTCATGGCACCAGAGTGGTCATTCGTGACCTCCCAATCAAAGGGGTCACTGTCATTGATTGATCGTCTCTCCATATAGTTGTTGAGCAGTGACTGAAGATACTGATAATCAGGTTTGTCGAAGTACGTTAGACTTTGAATGTGCTCAAGGAAAGCGCGGAATTCACGGGGCATAAATTTGAGAAGTTGGTTTTGGTCAAAGGATTGCTTCATAATGCCAACCTGTTCCTTATCTTTCGTCTTGCGCCAAGGCAGTTCACCAGTTATGAACTCGGCTAGCATGTAGTAAAGCGACCAGAGATCATCCTGTCTCCCAAGCTCCTTGTTAAGGTGCGCATTGACTGAGGCGTAACGCACAGTTCCACGAAAACCAGCAACCTGTCTAGGAGGTCGAATATCACCGCCAGTGGTGGTGTATTGACGTGCCAATCCAAAGTCAAGCATTACAATACTTCTGGGACTGACCGAACCAGGTCCAACACCATTTCCGAGGGCAAAATTGGATGGTTTGATGTCACGATGGAGGAACCCCACCGAGTGGATATTTTCGATGGCAGTGAGGATTTGACGAGCCAATCGAACTGTAGTGGAGATGGAGAAATAACCACGCCGCGTAGAACGCCGAAGATCGGCGAGATTGCGACCCTGCAGAGTCATGACGATGTAGTTGTAGTGCTCATTACGGCCGCACCCAATAAAGCGACAGACATGTGGTTTGCCCTGTAGGCGTTTAAGAACAGCAACTTCCATTTTGAGCACCTGCTTGGTCTGTTGAGAGGATTCTACCTTGATGGCGACCTTTTGCTGAGTCATGGTATCCAAGGCCTCATAAATCTCACCAAAGCCTCCACCGCCAAGCTTTTTGCTCACCTTCCATCGGTCCTTGATAACGGTTCCCAGGGCCACAATATCGCTAGAGGTTGAAGTCATTTCTGAAATTACGATAAATAGAAACGACTGCCAAGTTCTAGGCTTGAAACTGCAGGAAAAGCAACAAGGAGACCACGCAAATGGAATGAAGGAAATGGAGGACAAGGTTCAAAAAGATGTAATGGATATAAAGCAGCAAAAATTCCTACAGCTCCTTTCAAAGTGCATCACTGTTCTAACTATGTGTCAATAATGTATAAAAAATATAACTTATTCTACCATACTGAAAAGTGAGGATGGCAGACGTGAACGAGTAGCAAAAATGTACAGAAAAGAAAGCTGTTTGAAATATTGACGGCACTAATGTTAAAAAAAGCGATAGGGATTAAAAACAAGAAAGAATAAAACAGAAGCAATTTTTCAAAGTACCGATTGGAGACAGACTAGAAAAACT